CTCTGTGCCTCTTCAAATTCTTTCCTCCCCCCATCCTACTGTGGCTTCTGCTGCCCTTCTCTGCCCCCCAATTCTCACGCGCAGAATTCTCCTTCTCCCACCAATCCATTTGTGTGTGCCTCTCTCTCTCTCTCTCTCTCTCTCTGATAAGAGAGCAAGAAGAGAGGGAGGACGGAGGGTAGAGGAAGGTAACGCCACCGGAGGAAAGACAGAAAGCGAGGGAGGGAAGAAGGAAGGAGAAAGGGAGGAAGGAGAGAGCCGATGGGGCAGGAGTGACGGAGGGAGGGCCGATGACGCACGAGTGACGGAGGGAGGAGAGAGGGTCAAGGCAGGAATGGAGGATGGGCCGAGGGAGGAGGGATGGTGATAGTGCCTCTGCTGCCTCACTCTCTCTCTCTCTGTGGAATGGAGGACGGGCCGAGGGAGGACGGAGGCGGGAATTGAGGACGGGCCGCGTGAGCGAGGCAGGAATGGAGGACAGGCCGAGGGAGGAGGGATGGTGATGGTGATGGGCCGAGGGAGAAAGGGAGGAAGGAGGGAGGGCCGATGGGGCAGTTTTTATAGTATTGTAGATGAGCATGAAAAGCACGTATCAACGATGAGCACAAAAAGCACAGATCAATGATGAGCATGAAAAGCACAGATTGACAATGAGCATGAAAAGCACGAATCCACGATGAGCAGGAAAAGCACGGATCAACAATGAGCATGAAAAGCACGTATCCACGATGAACACCGAGCACCAAAAGCACGGATCGAAGATGAGCACGTTATCATGCACCACAGTTCCCGCACAGATTCACAATGAGCAGGTGACCAAAAGCACGATCCACGATCAGCACGTGGTCGTGCACCAAAGAAAAGCAGGGATCCACGATGGGCACCAAGTTCCCATCGAGCACGGAAAGTCCGAGCAGCAAAGGAGAGAACACGATGAGCACCAATCGAGAGAAGACGATGAGCACCAATGGAGAGAAGACGGTGAGCACCAATGGAGAGAAGATGACGAGCACGAAAAACATATATCCACAATGAGCACCGAGCACCAAAACCACAAATCGAAGATAAGCACAAATCCAAGCACGGCACCAAGTCCCCGTCGAGCAACAAAGGAGAGCACAGAGTGTGTGTGTGTGTGTGTGTCTGTGTGTGTGTGTGTGTGTGTGTGTGTGCGTGTGTGAGAGGGAGAGAGAGAGAGAGAGAGAGAGAGAGAGAGAGAGAGAGCAATGAGCACCAAGGAGAGCACATCGAGCACGAAAAGTCGGAGCAAAGGAGCGAACAGGATGAGCACCAATGAAGACGAAGCACGGATCCACGATGAGCACCGACCACCAACACCAAAGATCCACAATGCACTGACCACCAAAACCACGGATCAAAGATGAGCACGGATCCAAGCACGGATCCACGGTGACCACCGACGTCGAGCAGCAAAGGAGAGCGCACTCTGTGTGTGTGTGTGTATGTGTGTGAGTGTGAGAGAGAGAGAGGAGAGAGGGAGAGCGAGAGAGAGAGCACGACGAGCACCAAGGAGAGGACGTCGAGCAGGAAAAGTCCGAGCATCCACGATGAGCACCGACCAACAAATAGAAGCACGGATCCACGACGAGCGCCGACAACCAAATCGAAGCACGGACCCACGATGAGCACCAACCACCAAATCGAAAGCACGAATCCACAATGAGCACCGACCACAAAAGAGAGAGCACACTGAGAGAGAGAGAGAGAGGCACCAGTAGAGCACCAACCGCCGAACCCGCGCGCACCGACGCACCCACGCAGAGCACGCACGTTGAGAAAGGCAGACAAACCATGGGCGGCACAAACATTGCGCGCGGGCAATTGGAGGGGTGCACCGGCAACAAAAAAAACGGGCACGCACGCGGTTGGAGGGGTGGCCAGCAACACCAACACGGGCGGCCGGAGCAACAAAAGCAAACAGGCGGACGATTCAGCACTTCCGGTACCAACCGGCGACCGTGGAGGAGTGGGCAGGGCGGGTCAGGATTACGGGCGGACGGGCGGGCGGACGGGCGGGCGGACGATTTGAGGGGGGGGGCACGATTACGGGCGGATAATTGGAGGGGTGGGCAGGCCTGCAATTTGGCACCTCAGGTAGCGACCGGCAGAATTTGAAATCTGACATCACACGGACCGAATCACAGGCCGATAACCACCACGGACGGGCCAGATCGCAGGCCGATCAAAAAACTTTCTGATCGGCCTGTGATCCGCGCCATCCCCGGGGGTTACTGGCCTGCGATTCAGTCCGTGCAATATGACGTTTAGCAGTTATTACAGTGTTGTAGATGTAGACATTAACTAGACTACCTGATGCAGCTTCACTCGCAAGAAGTAGGGACGGGATACCACCAAACTTTCTCTTTCATTGCGGTAGTACTTTCACCTCTTGTTTCTGGTTTTCCATGGGAGAAACATGCTTTCTTTTCTGCTTAACTGCAGAACGAGAGCTCTGCATTTTTCTGAGGGTAGTATCTCATGTTATTCCGTTTAGAGAAATCCAATTCCAAGTCTGTTTGCTGTATTTTCTGAGTATGTATATCTGATAATTGCATGTTGCATCCATTCCACATCTGCTTGCCTGCTGAGTTTCACCTCTCTCTCTCTCTCCGTCT